CAATGGGTGCAATGGTAAACAGGCGGATATGTGGCGCGGCTACCATCGCACCCAATGAGTGCGACGGTAAACAGGCGGATGTGTGCCGCGGCTACCATCGCACCCAATGGGTGCGACGGTAAACAGGCGGATGTGTGGCACGGCTACCATCGCACCCAATGGGTGCGACGGTAAACAGGCGGATGTGCAGTACGGCTACCATCGCACCCAATGGGTGCGACAGTAAACAGGCGGATGTGCGGCACAGCTACCATCGCACCCAATGGGTGCGACGGTAAACAGGCGGATGTGCGGCACGGCTACCATCGCACGCAATGGGTGCGACGGTAAACAGGCGGATGTGTGGCGTGGCTACCATCGCACCCAATGAGTGCGACGGTAAACAGGCGGATGTGTGGCGCGGCTACCATCGCACCCAATGAGTGCGACGGTAAACAGGCGGATGTGTGGCGCGGCTACCATCGCACCCAATGAGTGCGACGGTAATCAGGCGGATGTGTGGCGCGGCTACCATCGCACCCAATGGGTGCGACGGTAAACAGGCGGATGTGTGGCGCGGCTACCATTGCACCCAATGAGTGCGACGGTAAACAGGCGGATGTGTGGCGCGGCTACCATCGCACCCAATGAGTGCGACGGTAAACAGGCGGATGTGTGGCGCGGCTACCATCGCACCCAATGGGTGCGACGGTAAACAGGCGGATGTGTGGCGAGGCTACCATCGCACCCAATGGGTGCAACGGTAAACAGGGGGATGTGCGGCACGGCTACCATCGCACCCAATGGGTGCGACGGTAAACAGGCGGATGTGCAGTACGGCTACCATCGCACCCAATGGGTGCGACAGTAGACAGGCGGATGTGCGGCACAGCTACCATCGCACGCAATGGGTGCGACGGTAAACAGGCGGATGTGCGGCACAGCTACCATCGCACCCAATGGGTGCGACGGTAAACAGGCGGATGTGTGGCACAGCTACCATCGCACCCAATGGGTGGGATGGTAAACAGGCGGATGTGTGGCGCGGCTACCATCGCACCCAATGAGTGCGACGGTAAACAGGTGGATGTGCGGTACGGCT